TCCATACTTACCACCCAGCTGAGCTTCTGAAGAGCTCAGACGCAATAGTTGTACGTTCATGTCCCCCGCAAGTACTATAATATCTGAACTAGTAGCACTGCGTAGTAGGGCATTCAGTTAGTGATAGAATGTGTCCTTGACTGCAATAGAACTGCAGTCGGTGGGAGCATAAACGGAAATCACAAACAAACAGCGCTTTGTTTTACTTCGTGAATTCACCTTAGCTGATGTCGTCAAACGGACTGCACGGCTGTTCAGCGGAATCCAATCAACCAACGATGACTCAGCCTTGAAACTTAGAATGATACCTATACCAGCTTGACCCGTGAGTGCTGCATCGGCGTCTCCGGATGCGTGCAACCAGTAACGAGAAGATAAGCCGGGTGTATTCAATACAATAACCCAGTTAGGGTCATTGATCCTAGTTTCGGACACACTCAACACACATCAACACCCAGTGTGTCCAAGGTGCTTGCGAGTGCAGCCAGTTAAACTATTTGTCTTAGAGTGCGAATGTTGCATATCGCCATGGGAACGGGATAACGCGGCTTTATAAGGGACTTTTGCCGATAGGCGTCCGATAGGTGCTGTGGGATGGTGGCTGCAGATGGTTCTACTCCAGTAGCACTTCGGTTGCTCTCAATTAAGCTGGGAATTTTAGAAGGAAGGTTAGTAATAGGGCCGGGATGGGGGTCAGAGAAAAACGGTGGAAAATAAAGAAGGGAGGCGCCAGCGGTAGCTGGTTCTCGCTTATCTGCCCAGCTGTATGCTTTGATAATCTGCGCGACGGCCGATGCAGGATGAAGTTTACGTTTGAAGATGTCATGGTTGATTTGAGCTGAGATACTGCCAGGGCGCCCAGACCTAGACAGGAGGACGATTAGGATCCACAACGAAAGCCTTTGGCTCAAAAGCCTGTCCGCAAGGCAGCGGAGAGGTGGCAATGATTTAGTTTTATGAAAATGGACGTCATCCCATTTCAAACCCCCAACCTGGAGGAGCAGGAGACTGACTTTGCCTGACCTCACACCATTGACCAACCTGGTAGGGGTAGCTCTCAAGATGCCCGGAGGCATCACCCAGTATAGCTCAATGGGTCAATGAGGTGCGCAAACCATCGCACCAGGTTAAGTTCCAGTCTCGTTGCGACGAGAGTCGCCACATAGGCGCCAATCACCAGACCTATTAAGCAAAGTTGCAGTGGAGATGACCAGCAACTGCTTGAAAGACGAATGGTCCAGAGCTTGACCGTGTACTCGAACACTTTCTTAGCGTCCTGTAGTTTGTCAGGTGTAGGTTGTCATGATTTCGCCGTCACGGGTTGTGACGATGTGATGTTGCACATCGTGCTTGATTTCCGTTGCGTCATTATCCAAAAAGTGGTGGAAACTTTGCAACAACGCGGAATACTGTGAATGATCAGGCATAAGGACTCGAAGTCAGATGGAATAAACTGTATTAAGTTTGCCGGAAGCAGATAATAATGTGGTATCATCATGCAACTTCCCACATCGTAGATCTACTACAAGGCTAAATTTGCTAAAACATCGATACCGATGATAGGCTTCTGTACGTCAGCGATCGTAAAAAGAAAAGCAACGACATAGTCCAAAACTGACCGTGAAAAGTTTCTAGCCATAAGTTGCGATCTCCGTCTGGTTAGTAGCCTGTAGTATCATTTCAGCCAGCTGTAACGAATGTTTATCCAAGGAAGGGGGTATCACGCTTATCACCGCGCTGGTGTCAACCAAAAAAGTGGAATATGGTGGTGCAGTCAAATAGGTAGAGGAGGCGACTAATAATCTGGCCAGCGATAGACGTCGCCATTACTAGCGGCAGTTGCTGCGAAGCCAGCTTCTGGAAAAGGATCTTTGGTTTCGTATTCGACTGCCGCTGAGGTGAGAAATGCTGCGCGCCAATTTTGAGAGCCTTAAAATAATGGAGTCTGGTGTGGCACTCCCTGAAGTGCTTGTAGTGGACGCCTCAGCCACATGGTTCACTGCGTTTTTAAAAATATTTTATATACTTTGTCGGCTGCTTCCTCCAGCTTATTCAGTGGATGGTCCTCAGAGAAAACAGCTAGTATGGCCGTCGTGTTTGCTGGAAGAAACTTAATCCATTGTTGACGAAGAATGAAATCATCTAAGGTGGATGAACGGATAAGTGGTCGCACGTGTCGGAGGAGCTGAGACGGTGTTTGAACACCAAGCTCGACGCCAGAGAGTAGCTGTTGGAGGCGTGCATCGTCGGAGGAGGCAGTGAGTTTTAAGATAGCCGCTTTAAGCTTGTTATAAGCTGAGTCAGCCTGCAAAGGATCGAGGCTATTGATGAATGAATCCACGTGTGCATTAACACTTGAAACATCGTAGACTGCGAGGTAGTCTTACGGAAAAGAAAGATAAATTCCCCCTGATAAAACCAGACACTGGGTTGGACACATAGAAAGATGCCAAAGCAAATGTAACGGAATTTTCAGGTAAATGTTCACAAAAAGGTTGCTCAAACCTAATAAGAAAAATGATGTTTGTAGAAAAATACGGGGTCACCAAGAAATGTAGAGGACTGTTGTTTAAAAAGTTCGAGTGCGGAGGCTAAAGATAATCTTATGCAAATGCACAATTGAAGAACAATCATGCACACTTGCGTTGTAGTTCTTCCTTCAGTCAATGTTATTCCGATGCCGACTAGCGATTCGAATATCTAAATTCGACTATTGGAAATACGTGGCAACAACACAAGCAGAGGCGGCAGCAAACGAAAGCAGCACGACACGAGCGCGGAAGTTGTTGTATTCAAAATTTATGGATTCAAACAAATTATCCAAAATGACAGGTAACGGAAGTAATAAAAACAAACATAAAAGTTAGTAGAATAACAACCAACATGGCTCCCTCCTAAGCACTGTAATTTCAGAAAATTATTGATTCATTTTTAAGATTTCCTCCAATTTTCCCTTTCTTCTCCATTGATGTGAACTGTGAACTCCATTTTCTTTGCTAAGATGAACCTAGTATCCATTGTTGACCTGTGTTAAGGCCGCTCTCCTGTCGTGCAGCCAATATGTGTCCCTTATTTATTCTTTTCCTCTAGCTAGCAGTGAGAATGACGCAGCTTTTATTAGTAGGACGTATGAGTCTTTTATGGAAATTAATGCTTCGCCATGCACACGTCTCCCTTATCATAATTAGTTGATCCCGCTAAATGCCATATACGCTAACAACCATGTTGTTTTTCTCTCCCACTCGGAATGTTCATCAATATTTTCTTAGTATTTGACTGTGGACAACTATGTGTGGCAGCCTCTTAATTGTTTCTTTGTTTTAGACCTACTTTTCCTGCCTTGAATTTAATTGCAACACTTGTCTAACCGCTGATTGGCTTACCATGTGAACCTTCTGCACTATTTGTCTTCCCATCCTCTTCCGTTGCTATGCGATTAATATAAATTTGCTAATGCACCACAGTATAAAACAACATATGAAAATTGCGTGACCTCTATGAGTTTAAGAGGCATTGACAGGCTTAGAGGTTGTGTTCTTTAAAATGATCGATATGCACACCTTCAAATATAATTCGTCACGTGTTCCCAATGGGAAGCTATTAGGAATTCCAGTAGGAAAGCGAAGTATGGTTAAACAAACTGCGAAGGGAGTTGATGCGAAGATACTCAAAAAACAACTTTGCATTCAAAAGGATAAGGAAAAATTGAAAAATCTGGTTGACAGATTACGAACGTTGGGAGAAAGAAGCACTTTTCATGGTGTGGATGTTTTGTTGGAATCAAGACCCGGATGGCCAAGGCAACTCGTTTGGGTGATCGTCTCCATTATGTGTGTGTTATGCATCGTAACGCTGTCGCATCTGATTGCAGGATTCATTAGTATGCCTATATCGACTGTGATCAATGAGGGAAAGGCCAGCTTTCAGTTTCCAGTCATTTCAGTTTGTCCAGACAGTCCGTTCAGTATGGACAAAGTACTACAGGATGATAAATTACGTACTGGGTAAGTGACACGCTCCAGAAAAGCGGAATTGTATTTCGGAACGTGGGCAGGTTTAAACGTATTACTTGTGTGGTGATCAAGCTCAGGAGCGAAACGGAAACATTAAATGTGTTAAGGCAAGATAAGATTGTAAATAATTTATCATGAAGTTCATGTGTGGTGAGTAGAAAAGACTGCCATATTTGACGTTTCCTAATGAATGCAGGACCTATTTTTCAATGTAAGCAGAGGACAAAATACTTAACTTGCTCAAAACCATGGGTGAGATGGTTGACTAGGAAGCATTTCTCATCGCATAAATATCTCTAAGTAAGAGAAATCTCTTTCCCGCTCCAACCTGATGCATCGCTTCTCCATTCTTATTTGGTGTCGTAACGCATGTGACTGACATATAGAAAAACAGTTATGGGCTACTGTAAACCCTCAGGTTATCTCTTATTAAATCGTCCTTTTATTACAACTTAGAGCTATGTGTATCTCTATTCTCGGCACTTTAGCGGCTAGCACCCTTTCATGGAGACATTAATTATCGAAGCGGAAAGAAGATAGGGATTGCTACATGTCATCCCTTCGCTTGTTCTCCTCAGTCTTATACACAATGCAAGAATAAACGTATACGCAAATAGATACATGGAAAATAATTGACACACCAGTCGCAACGTCGAAAGCAAGACCAAGGCAATCTAACTGATTGCCTCAAGAGCTTCTGTGCACATAAAACAGTTTGATAGGCCTTAATTAGCAAAGCTTCACTGATGGCCAACGCTATCTTGTTCGGTTGCGTAACAGCAATTTGAACGCTGTCTTCAGGTTCCCTTGGTGAGCAGTTGTCAAAAGGAGCTTAGTGATAGGTGATGACAGAATGCGGTTCATTCTGGGGGTGCTTCGGTTTGCTGCGTCACCGTTTGCTCCACCCATTTGGCAGGGTTCAGCCACCCTCTGAGGCAACCAATGGTTCATTCGGTCTATGTAAACGTGACAATAACTGCATGTGAACTGATATACTACATGAAATGTCGCACTAGCCGAAGAGTATCTCTGGCGGTCATGTAGAACAACTGTCCGAGTATGGTGCATGAGACGCTACTGGGCAGTCGTGCACGTGCGCGTTAGGGCGGACCTGAGCTTATGTCCGATATAATTTACCTCATGGTCTCTCCTGAACGGCAGCAACAGATACACTGCTTTTTCCTGCTTTAATACTCCGGCCATTTCGTTTGCGAAGTCTGCTAGGCACTTAGATGAACTGTTCAGGAGGACCATTCGATATCAAGGTCCCATACAGCAAGTTTCCTTCAGCTTCCAGCGTTTCAGGACAATAAATTATTATGGCCTAGCAGAAGAAGAAATATCAATTATGCCAACACACATGTTTCTCCTAGACACCAGGATGTATCTACTTGACTAAAGTAATGGCGGGTAGTTATGAATGGTTTAAAGGAGTTTGGGTTAGCTATATACGTTCTGATGGCAAGCATAGTTATGGAAAATCAGTTCAGCACCATCATGTACTGTGCAATCCACCCGCTTCACGCCACCTCTTTGAATCTCACGACTTTCGAGCGATGACAACCTTAGTAATGGAGAACTGTCTATGGGGAAAACGGGGGTGCTGGTTATGATGTGTAAAATAGATTATGATTCACAAGTCACATAAGATGTAAGGTCCAAGGCAACCGGGTAGTATGTCGCCTCCTGACGAACCATGGACTAAAAAATGCAACCATTCACACGCTCTCTTGCTGCTACTATGCCAACTTTACAAGCACACACCATCATATTACGTACCCTTCCCTTGTACCATTCACACGCATTTTACCTGATTCCTCTATGGCGATTAACCCCATCTACAAGGAAGAACCTGATCCCGTGACATCTGCCAACTCAATCAGACTGCTCCACAGAGAGCTGCCAGTGTCGAAGTCTTCCATCTTCCTTCCTGCAATATGGAATGCAGTTCAAACTTGCAGCCTTCGACGTACGCACGTTACTGTAGATCGGTCAGCAAGCTGGACTTGCACGCACGCTAGAGAACCTTGGTATTGATATGTGCTAAATGAATGAAACGCGAATACAGGACTCGAACTCGGTCTACCAGCTGGCGTCGCCACTCCACCCACGCAACTGCTTCCATCTCCGCCTGTCTGGTGACGTTGAGTCTACCGCATCTGAGCAAGCTGGTGTTGGAATTGCCCTCAAAGCTACAGCCAAGTCTGCTGTGATTGATTGTATCCTGATCAATAATCGCCTTTTCTGCGATGAGGCTTCATGCCTCTTATAAAGTTAGCAATGGTCACATCGAAAAGCGTGCTCTCTTCGTGATATCTGCTTATGCGTGCACTGACACTAGCTCGGACACAGTCAAAAACCCGTCCTAGCAGAAACTTGATAAACTTTTCCTGAGGCTCCTAAAACAGGCATCGTTTATTTGGCAGGAGACTTAAACACGTGTGTCGATCGGCTGCTGCAATGTGCGTACCACCTCAGGGGACCGTACGGATATGATGCTGTTCGCTCAGACAACGGAGAGAGACTGCTCAGTCTGTATACTGATCATCATCTTTTCCTCTCCAGGACGAGATTTCGTCATCGTGAACGCCAGTACGCTAGTTGACGCCCCCTATCATCAGCCCAGCGCTGGTCACAGATTGACCAGTTGGCTTTAAATCGCTGGTGGCGCGGCAACGTAAGTGACTGCTGAGCATTTTGGTCAATATGCGTCGATACCCATCATGCAATGATATGTTCGACCGTTTGCGCGCGCTTCGCTGGTTCACCTAGGTCTAAACGCACCTACAATTTGGAGGACCAAATAATGACGAAGTATCAAGGAATGGTACTTGAAAAGCTCTCTCTCTCACACACTCTAGATGTTGATCAACAAGCCATGCTGTCGGTCGGTTTGTCCAGTTGTGGCCTCACTCGCTTCATACCCAAAACTGGACCACTTGCAGATCCTCGGATTTGTTGGATCGCCGACGGGCGGCTTCTTCTGGCGCAGAGCACAACGAAAACCGCTTGTCTATTAGGAAACAGCTGAAAGCAAGTTTTTCCTCTGATCGTGAAGCCTGGTGGTCGAAACAAGCTGATGAGATGGAAGCCGCTGCAGCAGCTGGCAACTTCTGCCACCTATTTTGCATTATCAGGGCTACCGGTTGCAATTTGGACGCTATCAGCCAGACGATTTGCGAAGCAGACGGCACGAAGATCACCAACCGTCACAGGCGATTGTGTCGCTGGGCAGAGCAATTCGTAGTTCAGTTTAACTACCCAACACAGCCACTTTTTGCACCTCTAGCCCCAATGGACGATGCTTGACCTGTCCCCACAGGCCCCCCAACTGAAGCAGAGATCTGAGATGCAATCCAATTTTTGAAACGCCACAAGCTTGTTGGTCCCGACAGCCTACCACCCGCACTATTCAAAGATGGCGGGATTATACTTGTCAGCGAAATCTTATCGCTGTTCACAAAAGTTTGGACTGAGGAGAAGGTTCTAAACTCATGAGGAGAATCGGGTATTTTTCCGATTCTTAAGAAAGGTTCCCGCGGAGATTGCTATAAGTACCGCGGAATCTCGTTCATCTGTCGCCTCTAGTTGAGAGTGACCCTGACGAACTGGCTGAATTATACCGAAATCCTCACTACTCATCAGTATAGAATGAGGGTTATGGGATTGAGATCGTATCAAGCAAAATGAAATAACCGGTTGTTATGGTTAATACACATTGCAAACAACAAAAAGATTGCTCACCACTCGGAGTCACTGTGCGTCACAAATAGAAAGAGGTTGTTATGCTGAACAAACATACAATGTCCGTTCATGTAGCAAAGTGTAGAGCTTTGAAAACTAAATGAAATCTTTTTGAAAACAGCTAAGGTGGGAGAGAGACAAATGAGTTTAGAAAGACGTTCCAGTGTTGGCGGAACCGGAGGGGGAAATAGGTTCGCCAACAACCTAAACGACGGTATTGTTAAGCCAGTTTCAGGCTGTGGACTCTAAGCTTGGCGTGCAGCAGTTCAAAAGGTGCGTGACTTTAGTCGCTCAGTATTCGGTAAACTAATATGAGGTCGTTACGTAGCCTCCGATAGTGTGCGCAGAACACTCCGTATGTCTTCAGTCATTGAGGACACGGAAAGTTACGCAATACCTTGACAACTTTCGTCCCTCAACGTTAGACAGTTTTGAGCGCTGCAAGGTCACGCTTTAACCGTGGACGCCAAGCCTAGATTGTGTATGCAAGTTGCGGACTCGCGTAAGCACTGAGTATCATAGAGATTGTGAATGAATCCAACCAAAGTTCTGAGTGTGTCTCGAAACAGACCCACACGCTGTCAACTCATTGAAGCTCATCTAGTATTTATTTTTAAATACCAAACAATTGTGTAGGTAAATCGTATTCGGGAAGGACATTCCATGCTCAACATGCCTAAAAGGAGCGGACATTTCATCGGCTTTCCAAACGGTTATCCTATGTGTCATGCTGCCTTCGGCCCGAGTTAGCAACCTATGCAACAGGAGTTTAGGTCCGAAGATACGCCGCGCAATTGGATTGGTAAAAGCCTCCTAAATCCACATTCTCGATCCAAACTGGCTGGATTCAAAGTTCAAGTTAAACAAAAACGGAATCAATGACAAATTTTGCTCACACTCTAGAAAGCATTAACGTTTGCTTCCTCACTAAGGTTCAGTAACAAGGGCTACGGCATGAGGCTAAAACAGTCGAGTCGTCTGTGATTCCTGACAGTGTCTTAACATTGTGCCTATCAGGATACCAAATTGCCGAAGCCGATTTACATGCCAGTGTAGGTATCTCATTCAGCACAAGTGCTGAGGCACCGTTACTCGACTGCATCCTTATTACCAGCCACGTCTGC